AATAGGTCCAATTTTTAGTTACTTTGGACCCATTTCAAAAAACCCCTTTTTTTTATGAAAGTGAGCTATTTCCAGACCTTTGGCACTCCATGATGTTTTCTTATTGATTGTCGCCATTTGATATTTGTGTTACAAAGGTCCTTGCATGCTTTTATCCTTTTAGAAAAGCGACCGTAAATTTGCTTCTCCCAACTAAAAAAAGGGCGGGGGTCATTATGACTGAAAAGTGAAAAGTAAATTTCTAATATCAGGCTATCAGTAGAATCACTTTTTATCAGACTATCAGCAAAAGCACTTTTAAGACTGTTATCTGGTGGTTGAGTGGTAGTGGTGGTAGGAATTTAGATGCTTAAGGATGGATGTAAGCCTAGATATCATATGTGTATATAGTAGCACTGTTAATCCAAACTCAGTTATGAAATAGGCATGCAGTAAATTGCAAGGAAAAGTAAATAAGAGCTCGAAGGGGAAAAAATAAGATGCACCAGCCGGGAATCGAACCCGGGTCTGTACCGTGGCAGGGTACTATTCTACCACTAGACCACTGGTGCCTGCTTGTCGACTCTCAGCCAAATAATTAATTATACACTTACTAACACGATCCATTTTAAGTTAGGCCATGAAGATTTAAATCATTAATTAGAAAAAAGTGTAAATTGATACAATTTCAAAACCTTAAGGAGCAATACAAGAAAATTGAAACCTCATGACCCATTTTAAAAACCATCTCAAACCTTAAGCGTATAAAATATAGTTAACCCAATTTGTTTTGTGAACCGTAAACTTTTTAATTAGCAACTCTCATTCTCCAATTCCAAATAATCAAGAGATGAAATTAATGGGAGGAGTGCAAAAGGTAGAAAGAAGAATGTCTCAGTGCCAATGAAAACATGTCATGTGGAAAAAACTTACATGTATCTATATTATTGACATAGAATGTCATGGTAACAGTGTGCTTGCGCTATATAAGTCATTCTTATATGAAAATGTACTAGCTTGTTACCTTAACCAAACTTGTCTAACCCACAATTACCTATCCAAGTGCATGCTCGTTGTCAATTATGAAACACCCCCACCTTGTAAAGGTGATGCATCCTCAAAACCAATGACAACTATTCTGTCTCATAATCATGGATACTGCATAAGCCAAGCACAAAACACCAATCTCCAAACAACAAAACAAGCAGAAAAATCCAACAGCCAATTTTTGTTTTACAAATCTCTTGAATTCTGAATGCTACTTTCATTTCTTTCCTTAGATTAGAGTAGGTATACAGACAGACTATATATAGTTTTTATATTATCAACAAACACCTACTTCACATGGTGCTCCAATTTAGGGCTTGGAGCTTTATCATTAATCTTTGCTTGAAAGTTGAAACCCTAAATTTGTGGAGCATGCGGTGGAAATATAGCCGTTTGGACGTAGGATTGTAGTGTTGCTTCTCAAAGACTCGTACAAAACATGGTCTCAATCAATGTCCCAAGGCTCCCAACTTTCAATGTTAATTTTATCCTCTCGCTTGTGCTAGCCACACAATTTGCAAAATTAAATCCGACTCATGGATAGCTAGTCTGCCAGATGAATGTTTCAGAAGAATGTTTGAGTAAAAGATGACTGAAAAGTGAGTTTAACTAGTAGATTGGTGATGTTGTTACATTCCGAGTGTGCAGTGACATAAGAATGAAGCCTTCCAAAAGTAATGTCTAAAATTTTAAATCCCAACTCTCAAATTCTCAAGCCAGAACTTCAAAAGTGATTACAAGGAGGAAGTGGAGCTCCACACAAGCCAGGGTTATCTATGAAACCGGAAACAGGAATACTGGCTTTGCGAGGAGGAATTTTCCCACTCGATCGAATTGTTTCTAGAAACATCGAATTCTTGAATGTCTTTCAAATTCAGCACCTCCTTTGGAATATTTCCACTCAAGTTATTGCTTGAAAGAAAAAGTGCGGTAAGTTTTTTGACATCTCCCATTGTGTCCTCATGGATTGGGCCGGTGAACTTGTTAAGATGCAGATCAAGATCCATTAGGAGTGAAAGATTTCTGAATTCAGCTAGGATTGATGATTGGAAACCATTGTTTGATAAGTTCATAAATGAAAGGCTAGTCATGTTGCCTATCCGATGAGGTAACTTTCCAGTCCAGGAATTGCTTGATAAGTCAAATATGGAGACATATGATGAAGATAACCAACTCGGAAGCTGCCCTTCAATGCCGGTTCTTTCCAACAAGAGTCGAAAAAGTTTCAATCTTGCAAAAAAGCTTGGTACACTAACCAATCCCAAAGGATTAAATGAAAGGTCTAGAGTGTCTAGTCTTTGTAATTTTGCTAGCTGAGATGGAATTTGACCAATGAATCGATTTGTCAACAAATCTAGTGTTTGTAGGTTAAGTAAATTGGAAAAAACTTGAAGGAATCTTGCCTGTAAAACGATTGTTGGAGAAGAAAATGTCAGTGAGAATTGCAAGGTTCCTTCAAGGAATTTTCCTGAAAGTTTGTTGTTCTTGAAAATGAGCCTTTCTATCTTTGGGAGCTGGCCTAGTGATGCTGGCAAAGCACCTGCGAGCTTGTTTTGGGATAACTGACAAAACCGCGGAGAATTAAGCCCAGAAATCGAAGAAGGAATGCTTCCATTGAGCTGATTATGATTGAGATACAGCAGGACTAATTGCGAAAGTGCACCAATGGACTGAGGTAGTCTACCAATTATCCGATTTCCGGATAGATCAAGATATGTTAAGCTCTTAAGCTTGCCAGTGGAGACTGGAATGCTTCCGGATATATTGTTTCCATGTAGATCAAGCTTTGTTAGCAAAACCAACTTCCCAATTGAAGTTGGAATTGGCCCCGATAACCTATTTCCCGATAGGCCTAATTCCAAAAGTGAGCTCAAAGATCCAAAAACAGATGAAGGGACAACACCAGATATGTAATTGTTACCAATATAGAGCTTCTCCAATTTAAAAAGGTAGCGAAATGTTGTTGGTATCGAGCCAAAGAGCTTGTTTGAATCAAGGAAGAGATGAGTGTGGTGAGATAGCTCCCCAAATTTTGGTGGTATTGGACCCTTCAAGTCCTTAAGATTGCCGAGGTCAAGAAGTTGAAGAAACGATAAGTTGCCAAGATAAGGTCCCGGACATATACGTGTCGAACAGGAAGTCACTGCCCCAAACAATCCCCGGTCGTGAGAGGTTGACAACCCTGCCAGAAGGGTCACACGCGACGCCTTCCCAAGCGGAGCAGCAGTCGGAGGATAGTGACCATGAATGGAGCAGTTTAGAAGGGTCCGAAATGATGTTGTGCTTGAAATGGAGAAGTGCTTGTTTATCTACTTAATGGCATGCTTTGGAGACAAGGAGTGAGAAGAGTTGTGAGAGAAAGAGGACTAGGGTTTTGTTGTGAACTGAGATCTTCATTTCTGATGGAAATGTGGAAATGTTAAAGCTAAAAAATCTTCACGCTTAATTACTCAAGTGTTTGAGTATTTATTGAACAACGTATTCTTCAAGTAGCTGCAGCACAAGAATTGTATAATTATTTAAATCCTTACAGTTCTAGCAGTATGCTTATTTGTCTCCTTCAATAAGCAATGTTCTTCATAATTAGTGGGAAGTGACTAGGATTGGATTGGTATTGATCACAAGTGGTTAAGTTTATACATTGAAGATGAAATTTAAGTAGAGTTTGTTTGATGAACTATTTGTACTACTGTTGACTCTAAAAATTAACTACCCAGCCTACGTGGCACGCAGGCCAAGTAATTAATAAACTAACTACGTCTTTCGGTTGTGTGTGGGGTGTGCCAACTCGTCGGCCAAGTTCAACTGGGGAGTAAAATATGTTGATGTGGCGTTGAACACACTGCTGACTTCATGATGTTGCGACTGCGGCCGAGGAAGGAACACGTCTCAGCTTTCGAGTTCTAGAGCCTGAAGACAACGCTGTTAGTTCTGCGAAGTTCAATATCAAATTCGGCTTTCAATGTGCCGAATGTAGTAACATGGTTACACCTCACTTCGTCAAGAAGGCTGATGAGATGACCTTTACCAACAATGACTTGAAAATCCTTGTCGACCGAGTCTTGGATAGGTAATCAGTCGGCCGAAAAGCAGTGTTGTTTATCCAAACTGAAGGTGTTCCTTGATTGGCTGATTCTACAGCTCCAGTGCTGTTTATCCAAAATGAAGAAGTCATCAGTTGCCTTCACAGTGCTGTTTATCCAAATTGAAGATGTGTTGTTGGGAAAAAGAAAATAAAATTCTCAAGGTGTTTGAGAGGTTTCGCGTAGAGCGAGGGTTTGTGTAGGGCCGTTTGTGTGTTGAATTGGAGATGGCTTTATTTGTTGCCGTGCACCTTGTATTTATAGCATTCATATCTTCTGCTTCGCACATCCAAATAATTTAGTAGAGTTCAATTGCAACTCTAACGCGCGAAACTGAAATTGATCCGTGTCAGAGTGCCAAGGCATATCCTTCAGATTGCTATCTGACTTTGCAAACAAAATAAAAGCCTATCTAGGCTTATCACATCACATCACATCAGAAGCCTAGACTACTTAGGTTATTCCATCATCTTTAAACTCATCCATGCATGCATCCTGATCCCATCTAAATGAATTCCAAATTCATTTGTTTACTAATTATCACCATACTTTAAATGGATAACAATCAATTTGCAGCATACCACTTGAATCCGTCAGTCAACCAAACTAATCTCTCCAAAGTAAAACTATTTATGAATTTTCTGTCTTTCATGTTTTTTGAATAAAATTTTATAATGTTGACACAAAAATTAACATTAAACTGTTAAATAATAGATAATCCATAAAGAGTCTCACTTTATCGACTCCAAGTAAACAAACCAGTGAGCCAAGTAAGTGTTGCGTCAAAGTTAACCCGACTAATAGACCAAGAATTCGTAATCTCAGGGAGGACAGGGTGGAACTTTCTAAAATAATAGAGACTAAACTGTTACTGAGAGTAAATTAGAAGAGTGGAAAATGAAATTAATCCAATATTATGTCATAATCTTACAACAATAATAACGTTAATTCATGTTCTTATTCATGGGATCATCGGGCCGAAGCTTCTACACGCATGAAACGATTTCTGATCGCCACCTTGACAAAAGAAGAAAACTCTCGGACACCTGTACAGGCAGTTATCCCCCAAACCCACATTCGCCGAACCCGGTTTTAACCGCAGCAGTGGACCCGGTATGGGTCCGAACAAGTAGTTCCCACCCAGCAGGAGCCTCTCGAACGCCGAGACGCCGGGCCCGGGCACCGCCACTTTGAATGCGTACTGGGTCGGAATCATACCCGTAAACTTATTGTTCTCCAGCGTCAAAGCTGAGAGCTTCGGCATCGCCGCCATATACGGCGGCAGCATCCCCCTGAGGTCGTTGTTGCTTAGGTCTAGAGCAATGAGCTCGCTATGGGTGCCCGGAGAAAGAGATACCGGGGATTGTACGGACGTGAATTGGTTGAAGGAGAGAGTGAGCTGCTGTAGCGACGGGTGGTTGAAGAGGTGGGCAGGGACGGCGCCGCCGAGTTGGTTGTGACTCAGGTCGAGCACCTGCAAAAAGCCCAACTGTTTGATGTTTTCCGGGATGCTTCCTTCTAAGCTGTTGTTTCGCATGGAGATTTGGAGCAGAGATGGCGGAAAATTTATTGGGACGCCGCCGGATATGCCGTTGTTGCTGACGTCCAAGTAGTAGAGGTTCTGGAGAGAACCCAATTCGGGAAACTCGCCGCCGAGCCGGTTCCCCTGAAGCTCAAGCCGCTTCAACTGCGCCAGGCCGTTCAAGCTCGGTGGGATTGCGCCGTCGAGGCGGTTGTTGTCGAGGAAAAGCTCCTGGAGGTTCGAAAGCGAGCCAATTGAGTCGGGAATAGCGCCGGAGAACGAATTGCCGGAGAGACCGAGTCGACTCAGCCGTGTTAAGTTGGAGAGCGAGTCCGGGATCGATCCGGAGAAAAAGTTGTTGGAGAGGTCGAGCGTTTGTAAATACTGGAAGTTCCAGGATAGGGAGGAGAGCGAGCCGGAGTAAGCGGCCTGGTCAAGGGTGAGCTCGGTGAGCCGGCTGGCGGACGAGGAGTTGTCGACCGGTTCGCATCGGAAGCCACAGGTGAACCGGTCGCTGAAGAGGTTGTCGCAGGGGTCGAGGGTGAAGTCCCAGGAGCTGACGCACGAGCCGGGACTCACTGAATCGGGGTTGAGTGAGTTCTTGAACTCCTTGAGAGCTTCAATGTCGGCCCAGAAAGTCTTGGATTCTGCTAAAAGTTGCAGACTTGCAGCTGAAATTATCAAAATAATCAGGGAGGACAGAGACAAATTGTATATTTGAACACCCATTTGGTGGTTTTGTTGAAATTTGATCAGTGCGAGTGGGGAGTGTAAGTACAAGTATGGGGGTGGAGTTGCAGAAACAGGGGGAGGAAGGAGAGGTTGATCTGGACCGTTGGTTTGGAATCAGAAGTGGGAATTTTGATGTGGGCAAGGAAGAAAAGTACTTGTGAGGAAAGCGCTTATGCTGGCTTTTCGTATTGGGAATCAGACAGCGTTCAGAGATGTTTATATGGGAGTGGCCTCACGGGTCAGTTGTCAGAGAGAGAGAGAGATTGAGATTGGTGCTAGTATTGTTGGATTAGAGTATTCTGTTGAAGTATATAGTGACGTGTGTTGGTTGGGCCGAAGCAGCTGCTGCTACTTGCTATTGTTGACTGTTGAGCTGTCTTTGGTATTTATGCATGAGAATGACGATCGTAGAATGAGTTTAACGTTACATGATGTTCAAATTCATTAGTACAATATTATATATAAAGTTGAAGTAAAAGATAAAGCAAAGGTTCTTGAGTTCGTTAGCACCAACTTCTACATCAACAGCCCGTACTCATGACAGATTTTTGTCAGGTATTCAAGCGCTACTCAACAATTCATATGTCATAGTACAAATACAGAAGATGATTTATTTTTCGCGTTCCTCTACTAATATTATCATATGCGAAATACTCGTTTAGATTCCGGGCAATTTGAAAAATTTCTCCATACTCATCCACTAAGGCTACAATTGATACTATTACTATAATGTTTTATTTACAGAAAAATACTTAGCTTCTTCTATGCATTGAGTTGTTCTTTCATGTAATACTTTGTATATTAAAGATCTCTTGTGATTGTAAATAGACATTATTGTGAACATGTCAAACTGTAATTTATAGTCAACAAGAAGGCGAAATCGTGTACTTGAGATAATAAGCGGCTTTGTTAAGATAAATTATATCTCAAATAAATTATAGTCTGAGATAATACCCTCTATATGCCAATATGCTTTGGTTGATGCCCTCCTAGCTCTCAATCGAATAGGATCCTTTTCCTTTATTTCTCTATAAGCCACTACAAAATGGCATCTTTACAAAAGCAAAAACCAGTTCTTGATTGCAATCACAAAAACAGACAAAGATAAAAATAAAGGTGGGTAGGTGGCCATTTGATTCAGTTGTTACAGAGAGCCTCCGAGGTGGTGGGCGATTACTGATTAGAGTAACCCATCACTAACGTCAAATCGAGTCGTTGTTTAAGCACTTTTATCATAAGTGCTTATTAGATGAGCTAACAAACTTGAAACACAGCAAACTTCTCCCAAAGGCCAACCCATTTCCGTTATGCAGATTCGCGTCTGGTATTTTCCAACTTTCAACCACCACTCGGGAACATTATTTAGAAATCATACTATGAATTAGGGGTGGGCAAACGGGTAGAGGAACCGCGGGTCGGGGCGGGTAATGTAGGTTTGGGCCGGTTCCAAATGTTTTAGAAAATAAACAGGTGGGGCCCATGTCATTTACGGGGTGGGCCGGTTCCTAAACCCTACAATAAGGAGGCCCAGGACCGATCCGTTTCTAATTATAATCAATGGTTGAGATTGAATGATAACTTATCATTCAATCTGAACTGTTAGTTTGTACCCTAGTCTCACACTCTCACCATGGTCTCACTCATAGATTCTCTCACTCTCTCACTCACTCACTCACTCACTCACTCACTCACTCCCACCTTTCCTCCACCATCCGTCACTCGACTCACTCTCTCGACTCCCTCGACGTCACGACCAACACAACCCATCCAGCCATCATCCGACCTCGACGACATCCCAATTCCCAGGACCCAAAGAACCCCCAGCTCCCATAACCTCGATTCTCTCCTCTTCGACAACACCACCGCCGTCACGACCACCATCACCCCCCATCACCGACGTCGAGGACACTGTGCAACCAGCTTAGATTCTTTTACTTGCCTGGCTACCGGTAAGTCTACTTCTTCGAAAATTGAACTGCTACCAGCCTATGTGGATTTGTTAGGTTAGGATTGTGGATCTGTTAGGATGGGATTATGGATCTGTTAAGATGGTATTGAACTGCTACCAGCCTATGGGTGAAGGAATTGTGGATCTGTTAGGATGGGAATGGGATTTAGGATTTGAGATTTGGGATTTGTGTTAGGATGTGTTTGGTTATTGATGATGATGTTGGAGAACAATTCAGAAATAAAAAAAAATAACAGAAATAAACAGAACTTGAAATTCTAATATTTTATTTACTAAATATACTTGATGTGCAGAATGAAATTATACAATAAATACATAAACTAATATAAAAATATCAATGATACTAACTTGATCACAGAAGGTAGAGGCTAGCGTAAAAGCTATGTCCTTCGAACAGTATTTTCGTCCCACTCTTGTGCTTGTGGTTCTACAACGTCTGCTCGACCAGGATACAAATACCTAATTCTACAACCCGCACTGGATTATAGAACTCTAGCGAATTGCTTTGTGTGTTTACTCTCTGGAAATTTTGTACGGAAGATAAGGAGGAAGAAAAGATGATTCTCACTTGGATACTGTGATTGCAAATATATAGGCTGTTTCACACCCTTTCAAATACCTGTTCAGTGTATTTGAAAGCACACAACTCTTTCTAATAGCTGTGTCTTTTAATAAAAAAGTACAACTCTTTCTAATAGTTGTGTCTTTTAATCAAAACGTTTTTTAATTTATAACTTAATTAAAAAACTTAATCCAAAAATTAAAATTAATGAATCTGATTAATTTTAAATTCCAAGGCCCCAAGTGCCCCAAGGCCCTTGTCTTGATTAATTAATATTAATTGTATTTAGGCTATATTATATTCAAGCCTAATCCACACAACCATAAGGCTCAAGCTTTCAATCCATTTCCAAATGGTCCAAGTTCTAATTACTAAGAAAAGGGAATAAGCCTATATAAAGGCTAATGAAAAAATATTGTTGACCAATGTGGGACAAGAGGGTCTCAAACTCCAACAATACCCCACATTTGAGACGACTCTTTGGTCCTAGACACACTAAGATACGAGAGTAAACAATAGATGTGACATACATCAGGAGAGGTGTCTTTTGGACTTGAACCTACCTTAGTATATACTTATCGGATTTACTAGATGACGCAGTGAATATAAAATCTTGAACTGTTCATCTCCGCAGTAAACCAAGACAAAAAGCAAAACATATGCCACATACACATCACAAATTCATACGTTTGTGTTCTTTTTGGTCCTGAACAAATCCTGGATTCATGAGAGCTTTAGAGACTGTAGCCATGTAATTCTCATAAATGCGACCCCACATTTACTCTCATATAGGTGATATTGATTAAGAATAGGCTGCTACTATTCCACTTGATTTACAAGTATCAATATCATTAAACTAATGTATCCTACATCATCAGCAATCACCACACTTCTTCCATCATAGGAATGGGTATGTAAGTGTGTTTCTTCTTGAATCTAGCCAAACCAGTTTGCCTATTGAACCTAGACCATGGGATCTCTAATCAACTAGGTTAGGTTTCCGTTTAGCAGTTTCATGTTACTCTATTGGCTTTAAACCCATTCCCCTCGATGTATGCTTAACTTGCTCTCTAGACAAACCTTTAGTAAGCGGATCCGCAATATTATCTTTTGACTTAACATAGTCAATAGAAATTACACCACTAGAGAGCCATTGTTTTATTGTATTATGCCTTCGTCTAATTTGTCTAGACTTCCCATTGTATACATTATTTTTAGCTCGATATTGTGCAGCTAAACTATCACAGTGTATACATATTGCCGTTACAGGTTTAGGCCATATGGGAGCATCCTCCAAAAAATCTCTTAGCCACTCAGCTTCTCCTCCAGCCATATCAAGAGCTATAAATTCCAATTCCATAGTTGATCGGGCTATGCATGTTTGTTTAGAAGATTTCCAAGATATTGCTGCTCTTCCCAAAGTAAATACATATCCACTTGTGGATTTTGTATCATTACTATCCGATATCCAATTCGCATCAGTAAATCCTTCAAGCACTGGAGGGTACCTCGTATAATGCAATCCATAATTCATTGTATGCTTTAAGTATCTCAATACTCGAATTAAAGCTTCCCAATGATCATGCCTAGGATTGCATGTATATCTACGCAGTCTACTCACTGAGTATGCTATATCAGGCCTTGTACAGTTCATAATGTACATAAGACTTCCAATAACTTGTGAGTATTCACGTTGAGATATAGCATCACCTCTATTTTTCTTAAGTTTGCTATTGGCATCAAAAGGAGTAATTGCATCTTTACTTCCCAAATGACCATATTTTCTAAGTGTAGCTTCTATATAATGGGACTGTGTAAGAATATATCATTCTTCGTTTCTTTTTATTTTTACACCAAGAATCACATCAGCTAATCCAAGATCTTTCATATCGAAACTTGATTTCAATATCTTCTTGGTCCAATTTATTATCTCTTTGTTAGTTCCCATTATAAGCATATCATCTACATATAAACACAACATAACGCAAGCATTATTTTGAGTTTTTGTGTAGACACACTTATCACACTCGTTTATCTTAAAACCATGTGTTATCATAATATGGTCAAATTTTTCATGCCATTGCTTTGGAGCTTGTTTAAGCCCATATAGTGATTTCACAAGTTTACAAACCTTGTGTTCTTGACCTTTAACCACAAACCCCTCGGGTTGTTCCATATATATTTCCTCATCTAAGTCTCCATTTAAGAATGCAGTCTTTACATCCATTTGATGTATTTCCATGTTATAGAGTACAGCTATAGCAATCAATAGTCTTATTGACGTAATTCTCGTTATAGGTGAGTATGTATCAAAGAAATCCAAACCATGTTTTTGACGGTATCCTTTAGCTACCAAACGAGCCTTATATTTGTCAATTGTACCATCAGGTTTTAATTTCTTCTTAAATATCCATTTTTACCCAATTGGCTTATTGCCAGGGGGCAAATCGACTAATTCCCATGTATGATTTTGCATAATGGAATCTATCTCACTGTTAACTGCATCCTTCCAAAATGGAGCTTCAGGAATGGACATGGCCTCCTTGAATGATTGAGGTTCTGTCTCGGTTAATAAGGTCACAAAATCAAGCCCAAAGTCCTTTCAAATTTTTGTCCTTTTACTCCTTCTAGGTTCAAGTTCTTCTTCTTCTTGAACTCTAGACAAGGATGAACCATCATCATGTTCTCTATGTTCGTCATTAACCTCAGATACATTATCATGTAATCTCTTTTTCAATAAATTAGACTTGCCTATTTTGTATGGAAATATATCCTCAAAAAATATTGCATTTATAGATTCTATAATAGTATTGACATGTATATCACTAACTTCGGAATGAAAAACTAAGAATCTATAAGCTGAACTATTAGATGCAAAACCAATAAAAACACAATCTATAGTTTTAGGCCCTAATTTTGTTCTCTTTGGCAATGGGACTTGTACTTTTGCCAGGCAACCCCACACTTTAAGCAATTTAAACGTTGGGGTTCTTCCTTTCATAATTCGTATGGTGACTCCTTTCTCGTTTTAGGTGGAATTCGATTCAAAATTTTATTTGCAGTAAGTAAAGCTTCACCCCACAAATTGTGTGGAAGCCCAGAGCTATTCAACATAGAATTGATCATGTCTTTAAAAGTATTATTTTTCCGTTCGGCAACACCGTTTTGTTGCGGTGTATAAGGGGCTGTTTGATGAATTATGCCATGTGTGGCACAAAATTCAGCAAAGGCATGAGACTCATATTCTCCTCCCCTATCGGACCTTAAGACTTTAATCTTCTTGTTAAGTTGATTCTCAACTTCTGCCTTATATGTCTTAAACATATCCAAGGTCTCATCTTTACTATGAAGTAAATAAACATAACAATACTTACTGAAATCATCTATAAATGTTACATAATAGTTCTTTCCACCACGAGTTGAATATGATCTAAAATCACACAAGTCGCTATGAATTAAATCTAATAAATCATTGGACTTTTCATGCACTAATTTAAAGCTTTGACTCACAAATTTCGATTTTGTACAAGTCTCACATTTAACATTATCTAGATAATCAATTTTGGGCAGCAAACCTAAATTATGCATTCTAAAAAGTGAACGAAAATTTACATGTCCTAACCTAGAGTGCCATAAATTAGACGAATCAACAATATAAGTAGAAGCATTATCTATTTCATTCATAGCATTAACAAGTACATTTAGTTTGAATAATCCATCAGCAAGGTAACCCTTCCCTACAAACATTCCCCCTGTAGTTAGTACAAACTTATTGGACTCAAAAACTAGTTTGAATCCTTAATACTAAGGATAGGACCAGAAACAAGATTCTTCCTTATATCGGGGACATGCAGCATGTCAAGTAGGGTTAATTCCTTTCTAGAAGTGAATTTTAGAACACATTTCCTTATTCCAGCCACAACAGATGCAGATGCATTTCCCATAAACAGCTGCTCGTTTCCTTCGATTTTCTGGTACGAAGAGAACATATTTCTGTTACCACACACATGGCGAGTTGCACCGGTATCTATCCACCAATCAGCGTGATCAGACACAAGGTTGATTTCAGAAATCATTGCAGCTAAGGCATCCACATTGTTTTCAATCAGGTTTGCGCGGTTGTTGTTGCCTTGATTTCCAGGACCTTGATCCCTTCGATGGCGACATTCTTGAGCCCTATGACCTTGCTTTCCACAAACCCAACAACTTCCCTTGATTTTCTTGAAGTCTTTGCCTTTCGCACCAGGGACAAAGTGTTTTTCCTTCTTCTTAGTTTTCTGGAACTTCGGCCTTTGCTTTGATGAACTTCCTTCAACAACATTCGCCTTGGCTTCCATACTCGAAACCAGGCCCTTCTCATTCTCTCTGTTATCTTCCTCTATTCTCAGCCTGACAATGAGATCCTTAAGCGTCATCTCCTTACGTTTGTGCTTGAGATAATTCTTGAACTCTTTCCAAGAAAGTGGCAGTTTTTCTATAAAGGACGCCACTTGGAAAGACTCATTGATTATCATCCCTTCAACATGAATGTCATGGATAATTTTCTGGAGATCTTCAGTTTGAGAAACAACGGACTTGGAATCCACCATTTTGTAGTCCAAAAATTTGCCCACGACAACTTTCTTCGAACCAGCATCCTCGGTTTTATATTTTTTCTCAAGTGATTCCCAAAGTTCCTTGGCTGTTTTGCATACTACATAGACATCATACAATGAATCATCTAATGCATTGAGAATATAGTTTCTGCAGAGGAAATCATTATGATTCCAGGCATCTATAGCCATTAAAGTTTCTGCAGAGAAAATATTTTCTCCATTTGCAGTAGGTACAATCTCGCGCAGAACATTAGCCAAATTCAAGGTTGTCAAATAGAACAGCATCTTCTGCTGCCATCTTTTGAAGTCTCCGCCCTTAAATTTCTCAGGCTTCTCAGAATGAGGTTTAGTTCCCAATTGTTCCATACTGTTCGAAGATTGTTGGAGAACAATTCATAAATAAACAAAAATAACAGAAATAAACAGAACTTGAAATTCTAATATTTTATTTACTAAATATACTTGATGTGCAGAATGAAATTATACAATAAATACATAAACTAATATAAAAATATCAATGATACTAACTTGATCACAGAAGGTAGAGGCTAGCATAAAAGCTATGTCCTTCGAACAGTATTTTCGTCCCACTCTTGTGCTTGTGGTTCTACAACAGTCTGCTCGACAAGGATACAACTACCTAATTCTACAACCCGCACTGGATTATAGAACTCTAGCGAATTGCTTTGTGTGTTTACTCTCTGGAAATTTTGTACGGAAGATAAGGAGGAAGAAAAGATGATTCTCACTTGGATACTGTGATTGCAAATATATAGGCTGTTTCACACCCTTTCAAATACCTGTTTAGTGTATTTGAAAGCACACAACTCTTTCTAATAGCTGTGTCTTTTAATCAAAAAGTACAACTCTTTCTAATAGCTGTGTCTTTTAATCAAAACGTTTTTTAATTAATAAATTAATTAAAAAACTTAATCCGAAAATTAAAATTAATGAATCTGATTAATTTTAAATTCCAAGGCCCCAAGTGCCCCAAGGTCCTTGTCTTGATTAATTAATATTAATTGTATTTAGGCTATATTATATTCAAGCCTAATCCACACAACCATAAGGCCCAAGCCTTCAATCCATTTCCAAATGGTCCAAGTTCTAATTACTAAGAAAAGGGAATAAGCCTATATAAGGGCTAGTGAAAAAATACTGTTGACCAATGTGGGACAAGAGGGTCTCAAACTCCAACAGATGAAACCCTAGAAATGAAAAGCTAGGTCAACTGGTTGCAACTGGGATTAGGATTTCAATCTAAGTAGGCAATTTTGAATTTAATTGATCAAAAACTGCGTTTTCAGATTTGGGTTTTTTTCTTCTTCTTGTTTTTGTTAGGGTTTCACGTATCCTTATTCTGCTAGGTTCAACATTTCATGCTTTCTGTCACTTGAATGTTGTTACAATTCTAAAACAAATTCAGTTGTGTAAAAGAAGCCACAATCAGAAAGACTTAAATCAGTCACAGTAGATTTCTTTTCTTAACCAAAATGACATAATTCTAGAGATAAATAATAGCACAAATAAATAGCACATCATCTTGAAATATAACAATGGATATTTGATTAATATAGTGAACAATCTTGTGATACCTACGAACTACGAAGCATATATATGGATATGGTTACGGTGTGATACAAATTAATGTTAGTGCGTAATGTTTTACTGTGATCCACTTAAAGGTCTGATTAGTTATGCATATATAGCAACTGTTTGATAAGTTTGGCATATGAATAACGATATCCACATGAGTTATGCACTAAATAAGAGTATAAGACCACAAATGTGGCACATTCATGTACTAATCATAATGTACAATTACCAATGTGGGGACTCCTAAATTGTTTGTTTCATGTTTATACTATCCAAGCCTTCATGAACTACGATCTTGTTTCTAAAAGACTTCAAACTCAAAAGTTGAAGAATAAAACAATTGGAAAGAGGTTGCAGTCTGTTGCATACTTGCTCCTTAACTGTATTTAAGCTTGTTGAATCTGTGCAGTTTTGTGCAGTTTTTGCTTCTTCTATGTTGTGCATTTCTGTGTGTTGTGCATTTATGTGTTGTGTGCTAAGCTTAGTTGTGTGTGTTTTGATTACTATATGGTGGGAAAACAGTGAATGTGCTTCTTCTTTGTTTTGATTATTAATTAGTGTGCATATTTCGAAATATCTTTATTTGATTAATGAATATACTTTCATTATTTAATTTTTACAGATTTTTACATAATGTCTCAATCTCAAAGCCAAAGTACCCCTAGTATTAATGTAGCATCATCTACGGCTACATCACCATCACCATGTCCTCCACAACCACCAACACAAGCACAACCCACACAGTCAAAATCATCAATGCCTCCCCCAAAACCCTCCTCCAGAAAAAGAAAAGCACCACCTATTCCAAAGACAAATCAACCAACTATATTAACTACATTAGAGAGATCTTCTTCTGAGAGATCTTGGGTTTGGGATAATGTCACTAAGTGTATCGTCTCGGAAATACAAGAAGTAGAAAAGGATGGAAAGAAAGAGATGGCGGAGGTACAAGTCTTGAAGGCTAAGTGTAACCATTGTAAGTCCCTTTTTGCATGTGATACTAGTGGGGGGTGGAACTAGTACTTACATTAAACATATCAATAAACATTGCAAGTCATATAAACCAACTGATGAGTTGCAAAAGGTTCTAGGCAGTTCTGGACCTTCTGGGGACGTTAAAAACATGGTTGTTGCTAAAGGGTGGAGCCAAGAAGAGGAAGTGGAAGGTATTATTGAGTATATTGTGATTGACGAGGTAGCTTTTAGTTGTGTGGAAAGTGAGGGGTTTAGGTGGATGATGTGGAAAGTTTAGCCTAAATTGCATGTTCCATCTCGGTGAACTATTGTGAGGAATTTATTCACTATGTATGATACCGTGAAAGATCCATTAAAAAGGGAGATACACAAGTATAGAGTGAGCTTGACTACCGATACATTGACAAGTGTGCAAAATTTGAACTACATGGTGCTAACTGCTCATTTTGTGGATGATGAATGGAATATGCACAAAAGGATTCTAAACTTTTATTTGATTTCAAGTCATGAAGGCAAACAAATAGGGAAGCTGATTGAGCAATGTTTGGTTAAGTGGGAGATTGAAAATGTGATGTGTATCTCATTTGACAATGCATTGGCTAATAAGGTGGCAATTGAGTATGTTGTTCGTAAAATGCAGAAATGGCCTAATACTAAAATGATTATGAATAGCAAGTTTATGCATGTGAGGTGCTTAGCTCATATTATCAACTTGGTAGTGAAAGATGGGTTGAAAAGATTGGATACAAGTGTGGATGCTCTTAGAAATGCCGTGCGGTTTGTGAGATCAAGTCCCTAAAGGTTTAGTTATTTCAAGAAATGTCTGGAGAGTGAGAAGTTGGATAGTAGGGGTCTAGTTGTTATGGATGTGCCTACTAGGTGGAATAGCACATACATGATGCTAGAATCTTGCTTGAAATTTAAAAAAGCATTTGAAAGGATGTACGAAGATGATAAAGCCAATATATACTCCACCTATTTCAAGGAAAATGTGCTTAATGATGAAGGAGAAGAAGTGGCGTGTAAAGGGAGGGTTGGATCACCCAAGGAGGAAGATTGGGATGGTGCAGAAGCATTTGAAAGGATGTACGAAGATGATAAAGCCAATATATACTCCACCTATTTCAGGGAAAAGGTGCTTAATGATGAAGGAGAAGAAGTGGTGTGTCAAGGGAGGTTGGACCACCCAAGGAGGAAGATTGGGATGGTGCAGAAGTGTTTGTGAAATTTTTGAAGGCCTTCTATCTTGTAACTTTGAAAGTTAGTGCAAGTAAGTATCCCACATCTAATACAGCTGTTCATGATGTCATTACTGTGGAGAACGAGATTGAAAAGCTTTTTTTGCCTGAATATATGCAAACTGGAGAAACTGTAAAGTTGGTGCTACGTGATATGACAATGAGCATGAGAGCCAAATATTGAAAGTATTTTGGTTTAATTGAGTCCCTTAGTCAAATATTTGTAGTTGCCCTTGTCTTAGACCCAAGGTTCAAATTGAGGCACCACATGCACTTGTGTAGAAAGCAATTACAACTTCCTGAAGAAGAGATTGAACAGAAAAGTAATGAAGTGAAGACATTGTTGAAGGCGATGTGTGATGAATATGCTCACCAAACTTTCGGTTCACAAACAGAACAAAAAGGTAAAAAAGATTTAGTTGTTGACACTTCTTGTTCAAGGTTAAAACAATAATCTTCTAGTGTGGCAATAGAAAATCCAACGATATTTAGTCAAATGATGGATGATTGGGAGAAGGAACTAGAATACACCGAGGATATTGCACTTGCATATGAGGTGGATAGGTATCTCCTTGACACTCTAGAGAAAGCACCACATGGTTCACCATTTGACGTTTTGAAATGGTGGAAGTTGAAAGGGAGGAGCACATATCCCACACTTGCTTTGATAGCGAAAGATGTGTTGCCAATTCAAGTGTCAATAGTTGCCAGTGAGAGTTCATTTAGTGCAAGAAAGAGAGTTATTGACCATTTTAGATCATCTCTCCTTCCTTAAACAGTGAAGTCATTGATATGCCTCCAAAACTGGTTAACAAGTGAACCAATTAGCAACATTGAGTATGAAGCAAGTCCGGCGGAGCTCGAATTTTATCAAGAGTGTGAAGAAGGTAATTATTTTGTTTTGTATAGTTTGGTTTATAACTTTATATTAATTGGTTTACAATTAACGTGCTTTTGTTCTTTGTTGCAGAATATAAAAGAAGAAGAGGAGCAGCAAATACTATATCTACAACTACAACTACAAGTTCAACAATCTCACCAAGTGTTCCTGAAATTAAAGCTCTTCAAACAACTCGAACGAATAAAGGAAAAAGAATTGCGGTAATATTTTAAACTCAAATGAATAAACTTTAAATTTCAATGATTCAATGAGGATAATATGATGTTGGACGTTAAAAATGTCATGTTTATATTCTATTTTTCCTTACAGATTCAATGAGGAATGGTGTTGGAACGTGGACGTTGGATGTGGTTTGATTTTTGTTAATCTATGTGTTTGGAGTCTTGACGATGTCATGTAATATTGTTATTTTGGACTCTCGGAATTTGGATATGCTATTATTTTGGACGTTGGTAGTGCCGTGGTAGAATCATAGAATATGTGCAATTGCAATCTGTGCAATTGCTACAATTTGTGGTTTGCAGTATGTGTAAATTGCAATAATCTCATATAACCAACATAATCTGCAGCATTGATCTTTCCTTTTACCAAAAGCCAACTTTATCAGCAAGAACTGTTAAAAGTTGAACATGTACAGTTGTGCACCAGAAGATGGCTGCAATATATTATATATAGCTAATAGCTTTAAATTTTTGTAGGACGAATATTGGGCTCCTCAAGATTTCAAGAGGCTATTATCGAACAATGTTTGAATCTGTGCCGGTGTAATGGTGGAATGTAATGTTTGAAACTGAATTTGTGCTGCTGTAATTGTTTTTTCCTAAACCAAAAAAATAAAAAATAAAACAGGGGAACCGTAGACTCGGCCCGTGCCCAGCCCTACTATGAATTGAGATACACATCAACTAACTGGGTTCATGTCGTAGCAGTCGTATTTCGGTGTGGTTAGTATAATCACACACAGTAAATGTCTGTTAGACTAAAACAAATAACTATAACCCGATCTCCTTTTTGTTGGGAGAGATCACGAGTTCAAATATGATGGACGACAATTGTCGAAAAAGAGAGAAATAATAACATGGCCAAAATGGGAAAGATAAAAAGTTGAGATAATTAAGGGAGCTGGTTAGTTACTGTTAGCAATGGTTACACTATAAACTGATATTTATTTTTATTTTGTACTACAATTTTTCGTCATTCGGGCTGAAGAACTAACTAGTTTAAAAAAATTGAAACATGTAAAATAAAAAATGCCTGTACATTCTATAATCAGGCAGGGTGAGGATGCTCCTATTTAATAATAATCGAAGTATAACTGACCAAAGGATAGTCCATTCGAAAAGAATTGGAAAAGGAAGGGCACCTTTCATACTATTTTGCACTTATGGACCTCCCTCGGGCGACCGTTCCAACTTGGTGTACTTATCCTCGCTTTTTTGGCCGATTCTTCCCAGATACTGCCTCACAGATTTGTGATTCGTCTCAAAATTAAAATACATTTCCCTAATCTGCAGATTGTCATTAACAATGAATTAGTTGGGGTGAATAGTAAATTAGTAGGAGCAAGCACTACTGAGGGAAAAGCCGAAACAAGAATGGTAGAGCAGACAGAGAAACCTATTTACCTCAATCAAATTACTTGAACCAAGACTAACAAGTTGTCCGGTAGCAACTTCTTCTCCATTCAAATAAATTGAACTCTTGCCGAGATTCTTCAAAGAGAAAGAACCGTCTCCTTCCATCTTTATAAGAGCCTAGAGGTAATTAACAATAGACATTAAAAATCATAGCCAAAATTTCTTGAAATGAATTTAATAACAGAAAAACAAGCGATTAACAATTCCTCCTCCTACCCTGCTGCAAAGTCAAATTTATATAGACAATGACCAAAGTCATGTTTCTGGGTTGGACATTAAAAGCTAACATCGATAAGATAAAGAAGGTTTTAGCACATAAACAGATTTTAATCTACAATCTCATCCCTTTGTAATTCCATAAACAGTTTTTCACACTCCCTTTGCACTCCTTGTTTCTTATGCTCCGGTTCTCCTTTTGTTTATTCAATTACCCAGAGAACAAAACTTAGAGGAAGGAGGAGCATGAACGGATAAAATTGGTGCCCCCTCACAATTTAATGTATCATTTGTTGAAAAACTCAAGAACCAATTAATATGACACCTTAATCCCATCCTACAAGTTGAGCCAAATATTATATCAAAGAGCAAGTAAGGGACAAAAAATTCCTGGAAACAATCATATTAGGACGGAAAAATAAGTCCCACCTGTCGCCGAGATATTTTGTTATGTAGCCCTTCCTTTCCCAAGTCAATATCAACTTCGTTATCTTCTGTTGATCTGCCAATTATTACCTACACGGTAGGAAGAAGTTGCAACAGGTCTGCATAGGAGTTGCATGAATCTGAATCAAAACTTTAAAATCCAAAAAACATACCTCAGTTTTCTTAATGTACTTCTTTATATGGTTACCATACAATACTGCGAGTGCACCTTTAGATGCAAGGGTTCTTTGCATAGAGGATCGTGCACATTGTTCAAACCTTATGATGTTCCTTTTAGAATCCTCATTTTGATACTCTAAGACTGCAAATACCACATAAAAAATTGAAAAAAAAAGACACACACAGTGTATCGACCATAATGCGTAGACATTCTTCGACTGCCACATATAAGGCTGAACTCTTTTCTCGCATTTGGCAGATGGTTTATAATGGAAGGCAGCTATTGTAAACTTTTTAACACTTATTAAACATCTAATCTTTTGAATGTAAACATTTAAATAATTTCTGAAAATAAATATAATAAAAAAGAGCTCAGAGGAGTTACCTTCACTGCTGATGTATGAATCCTGATCCAGTGGACATAAATCCATCTCAAGTATCTGAAAATAACATAAGTTAGGGAGGTAGATCCTAGAAATGACCTAAGTAGAAGATTACAGAAAAACTCGCAAATCAACAAAACTATTAATGCTTGCCATCGCTTCGATATCAGAAAAACAAGGAATGTCAGCATCATCATCATCATCATCAAGATCATCATCAGATTCTTCCTCAGATTCTTCATGATCTAGTGCTGCTGGGTTGGCTTCTGGTTCTGGGAGAGTCGTAGAACCTGGCTCTGCGAATAAGGGTGCAAGTTCTGGAATTGTAAATGGAGCTTCTAATCCCTGTTCACAACAATCAGCTTTAGTAATAGATATTTACAAGGGCAACCAAGAAATTTATGAAGGGACCGCAGTAAAATATAATAACCTCTTCTTTGAACACTCGATTGGTGATAGACTTAACTGGTGCATGTGCTGATCTGCTTTGGCTTCGGGCGGCAATGACAGTTTGATCATGTTTGGAGATTGAAGCTCCACAGTTACTATCACCAAATGGAGCTTTAACTCCAAAAGAACCAAGTGCATGGTTGGGGCTGTTTTCTGTACTTGTGTCATATCCTACCATCCGGGGAACCTTAAACGGTCGTGTGGGATCTTCTTGTTTCCTTTGTTGATCACAATTCCTTTTTCCTGTAGAGGAAGCCAACTCATGAGCTACTTTTAAGGTTGGTTGCACCACAGCATGAACAGTTGCAGCAGATGGGAATATATCATCATTGCATGGGATTTCAGGGTCCTCAGTATTCAATGTGCAAATCATCTCTTCATGATAATGTTCAGGAGTAAGAGGATGTGGCACTGATGTAGATGCTGTCATATTGGCTTTGGAACACGAGATAACATGCTGATCATCTTGGTCAGAGTGAGACGGTTCAGAAGCAACATCCATCTCAGCAGCCTGCACATTGTCTGTAACAGCCTGGCATGAATCTGAAACCAACTTTGGGGGCTGACAAAAGTTGGGTGCATCATTTTCATGAACATCTTTGGTCTCGCTCAACAGAATCGGATTCAGGTTTTCAGAAGAGAACTTATCTATTGACTCCTTGCCATTTACATCCATGAAGGCAAGCTCATCATTCGCAAGGTATATATCTGCATAATCACCTCCGGAAATCGTGACAGAATGGACAACTTCGTATTGAGATGAACCAATATTATCCACATCCATATCATCAGTAACTTCCAATGTCTTTCGGGCACCCTCACCATTAACCCCCATGCTGACATCCATGGGCATTTCAGGTGCCGGTACATCCTCAATCGTTTTCCAAAGAGGCTCATCTATTGATGCATGAGATGGCCCTATATCTTCCGCATCTGAGGCATTCCCAAAATCAATTCCATCATCTCGGTGAGTAGGCAGATCATGACAAGCATTATCATGGCAAAAAGCATTCTCTCCTAATCCGCTACCTGGCAATAACGAAACCTGTTCAACAAATCCATTCAAGCACCCTTCCCCCACAACTCCTTCCACCCCAAGAGTTCCAATCGAAACACACTCTCCACCTCCCTCCACCCCATGGTTTCCAATCGAAACACACTCTCCACCTCCCTCGACCCCATGATTTCCAATCGAAACACACTCTCCATCACGAAATGCATGAGTGGCATTGCCGTTATCCACATCACAGTCCAAAAACACGGGCTGATTATGATCTCCAACCCCAAAATTTTCCTCTAAAGCCTTGCCATCATCAACATCCGGCCCAAAAAGAAAATTACGATCGAAAAACTCCTTCTGATAAGAATCGTGATCAACGGAATTAACAGCGCACAGTTTCCTCTCTATCTTCCGCATAGCATAGTAATGCTTTCGTATGCTATTGGATTTTCGATTCAAACCCCTAGAAAGAGTGAATCTACTAGCCTTGGACGCTGAGTTGGAATTGCAACCTTCCAATTCCACCAACCGAGCCGACGCCTCCGCAGAGACATCGGCGTCATAGAGGAGCGAGTACCACCGATCCCGCAACTCTCCGATCGTGAATTTGCGCGAAAATCGTACCGCGCCTCTGGCAAGTGCTTCCAGAGAAGCACCCGTCTGTAATCGTTAAAAGCACCAAACAGATTTTCAACTATCAATTCTAACGATCACTCCATAAAAATAAATAAATAATAAAAATTATAAAACCAGACACAGCGTACAAGAGGATGATAGCTTTAAATGGCAGTAACGGCAATAACTGAAAAGTTCAAGGACTGAAAAGGAAATTGTGTAGAAAATTGCAGAGGATTACCTCCATGGCGTCCTTCAAGCGGAGGTCGTCTTCCGGGATCCACGGAAGAGGCGAAGCCACTGCTTCCATGTGAATTCGAAGCCTCTGAAATCGTTCCGAAATTCAAATTCAAAGTTAAGTTCCAAAATTTTCAAAATTTGTTGGAGATCTCTGCTAATTCGAAGCTGTGAGAGTTGTGAATTCTCTGACAGTGGTGGTGGAGTGGCAGAGAGTGGCGAGTTACTGGGTTCGACCGAGTCGGGCGAGTGGGAAGAGCGCCAGCAGTGAAAGGGTACCGACTGAGTTGTCTGACTTTGCAAACACGCGCGCAACTGTTTATGTACTCGCTCGCTAGCTCGCTGAGTTAAGCTGCGCGATTCGCGTTTTGAGATTTGATTTGGCTTGCGTTTTGGGTAGACTGGTATTGCCCTCTTTTTTAATTTTTTGTATTTTCAAACATTGCTATTGTTGTTTTGTGAGCGTAATCAGTTTTGGAATAAATTTGTTCAAATTTAGTAAAATATATTTGTTTTATAAAACTGCAATAATTATAGACCTAAAATGACATTGATTTTAATTTTATTTTTTTCTCTACCTCTATATATATATATATAAAGTGAGAACAAAGTCTGAAAAAATGGATCAATTGTTGAATTCGTTTCAATTGACAGATTTAATCCTGTACAAATATTAGAAAGGGCAGAAACCCCATCTCTGCAAACATGAATTGTGACATTCCACATCGTCTAGGGGAGTGATCCTTATATGTATATTTCCATCCCTACCTAGCACGCGACCTTTTGGGAGCTCACTGGCTTCGGGTTCCGTAGGAACTCCGAAGTTAAGCGAGAAGGGGGCTAGAGCAATCCCATGATGGGTGATCCACTGGGAAGTTGCTCGTGAGTTCCCAAAAACAAAACCGTGAGGGAATGGTAAGCCCAAAGCGGACAATATCGTGCTACGGTAGTGGAGCGGGCCCGGGAAGTGATCCGCCCCGGACTGGGATGTGACATGAATAGATATATCTTTATTTTACAATTATTCACGAAAAAATTTATCTTCATCACTAGCCACTGCAAAGGATTTGTCTTTAATGAAAGTATTCTATTTTTAGAGTTAATTTTTTTTATAATTTAAATTGAATGTAAAACTATGATATTTGGCTTTGGAACTGAACTATTTTCTTATAACTAAGAAGAACTTTCACTTTAACAGGAAGGAAGCTTAATCGAAATGAAAAGAATCAATTTTTTTTTCTTTTTTTTAATGATTGGTATAAACATCAACAATTTCGAATTGGATTAGTTTCTCCTCAACAAATAAGTGCTTAGGCTAAAAAAATCCTACCTAGTGGAAAATCATTAGGTACATGTCAAACACCTCGATTTTTTTACGACCACACAAAGAAAATATTTTATTAAATCCAAAATAGATCTCTCAAAATTGACGCATTCATCATATAACTACCTAAAAATATGTTGAATCATTTGAAACACCAAGAGATAAAATAGTAATTAACAACATTTTGAATTCAAAACTTAATTTAAATTAGAAACATAAAAATTAGTTACAAAAGTTGATTATTTTTATTTAAAAAAAAAATCTTTCAATTAAAGAATACAAATTTAATTTCTTTACTGAAAAATAAAAAATAAGCATCATGTGAAAGGTCAATTGCAGACTCGTACACGGGTCTAACAAGCTAATTTATCGTTCTCAACCATCTCTATTTATCGTTCCCAACCAGCAGCCACACCCATTTTAGTTTTTTTCTACAAATTTTAATTTCATTTTTATAAACCTTTCTTGATCTATCTATGCGTACTCTCTCATATCCGAGAAGTAAACTCATCTATCTCACTCGTAATTTTGTCTGATCATCCAAGCGAAGGATTTCAATCTCATGAGACAACAAGCTATATAGAGCTTGGAAGAGACAACGAGGAGAGATGTGAGAGAAAGAAAGGAACTGGAAAACTCCAGATTCATATGTCCTGAGCTTGCTGAGCAGTTGATCCGGACTGTTGAAATTTGATCCAACGATTATAATTATTATAACTTTTAGATGGCCTTCTTGTTTGTAACCGTTGTATCAAATTTTAAAGGCCCGAATAACCTGCTCAGCAAGTTCAATTTTATTAGATCCAGAGGGAATCTGGTTCCAGAAAGAAACAAGTCGATTTTCATTTACAAAAAATCATTAAAAAGTCATTGTTCATCCGTGTTTAAGAAATAAGAAAGAAAAAAAAAAAGAAGCGGTTTAAAACATGTCTTTGTTGCTTCCGCTTTTCGGCTTTGAATGGGCTTTAATTGTTAAAAAGGCAAAACATGAGTTTTCCAGTCCATGAGAAAAATGTAATGCCTCCACAAATGCAATTTAGACAACCATTTCAATTTGCTCAGGTATTATCACTTTAAAGTGTATTTAGTAATTCCCCTTATCATTATTTTAAGTATATTACTTGCTGAACTTATTTTTATTTATGTTGTTTGCCTTCTTATATATACGCCAGCAAAACCACATAGGAGGCTATATTACCGTAGGCAATTATCGGCAATGTTCCTCGAACATGGCTACCTTATCATAGGTAATATAGTTCATCTAAAAACTTAAACTACTTCATTTTGAGTAATCTGTACATAAACAATGATACATTTTATTTCATTCCATGTTTTATGAATGCAAACACGAGTCACACGATTGGAAGAAGAACTATATTTGCTTGGATCTCAATTTACAAGCCAAGAAGAGTCATCAATGGACGTGCAAGATGATAAGTAAGATGAGAGTAAAGAATGAGTGGAAATGGATTGTAGCACTGATGATTTTGTCCCTGTATATTTCAAAGAGTCATGCTAATATGTTCTAGACGCATGGTAAAGTATGAGCGAGCAAAACTACTTAGGTTTAAAATCAAGATTTCACTCAATTCTTGTCATGGTCTTGTATGTTTGTAAGCTGATAAGCACATGAATTGTTGCCATCAATTTATTAATGCAATTTCATGACCTTCTCTAGTATCCCATTTTATTGCTGCCAGAGTTATTGGCATTTTCATCTATTATGGTTATATCAAGGTATTGTGATTTGTCAGTTTGTATTAGCACGGATTAGTCGATATCAGTTAGTAGTTCAGTTTCTTTAGATAATACTATGACGTATTATTTGATAAAAACTCCAAAATTTGAACATATTGACGATGAGGATTTTTCAAAAGTTAACTCTATTGACAAGAAAACAACTAAAAGCCTTTTCATTTGTAGTTGTTCATCACACTTCGATTGTAATTGAACACCCGTTTGTGCTTGATTAAAACCATGCACCATATTAGTGGTTTCGATGAACCTTTTCATAGTGCTTCTCTGCACTTGTACTCTACTTAGGCATTTGCAGGAGGAAAGTCAATAGATGACTTTCTTTGCACGGGCTTTTTTGGCTCCATGGTTTAACTTTTATTGTTATATGTCGTGCACCACACTTTGCACATAAATTATTCGCACCACGGTACAATGCTTGGACATGGAGACTAAGAATTCAAAATGGAATTAAAGACCAAAATCTAGGCAAAGGCTAGCAATGAAACAAAAAACAAACAGCCATCTCCATTGACTAATTTATCTCAACCCCTTCATATATCCCATTCACAAATAAAATCTGGGCAAAGGCCAGGAAGAAAAAAAAACAAACATCCATCTCCTCTCTATGCATAGGATTTTTGGCTCCATGGTTCAATGCTTGGACATGGAAACAGATAACTTTGGAAGCCATAGTGAGGAAGAAGGAGAGTTGCACGACAGAGGAATATTTGGAAGAGTCCAAACGTCGTATGCCTTCTGCAATTTCTTTTTCCAAATTTAGCAAATAATAGAAGTTAACAGAAGTTTAAGGATAACAGAAAAAATAACAAATTTAGAATTAGTGAGTGGGCGGACACGTGTCACATATTTACAAGGGCCACAAGGGGCCACATAGGCATTTGGGTGCAGAAAATCTAGTCTCCCAAGACACTCCCTTTTTAATGTTAGACTAACTAGACATTTGTCATGCTCCAGACTTAGGATTGGTAATAAAAACTCGAACCCAAATCCAAAACGTGAATTAAAAACTAAAAAAATAAAAGGAAATTGAAACGGTTTGGAAAATAAATTTCCTCCTATAAAATAACTCATGATTCTTAAACAAATTAAGAACTCTTTACAATTCTACTGTAAATAGATGAATAAACATTCTATTCTTACATCTAATCCGATCTCATCATGCTTACCCTCTTGAATGTCTAGTTTGTAAACCTGCATAACAATAAAATGGTGAGCTTCAACAGCTCAATAGGGACATAACCTTACCACAGTAAATTGACGATATTAAATTAAGTTCCATGACATCATCTATAATCAAATATCAAATCATTATTGATAACAATGCATGAATGCAATGCAACCTCTTCAACTATTCCCGTTAACTTATATTATAAAACACGTGGACCTGCACGTTCCATACCGTACATTTTACCACTGCAGTGGTGGTTTGAATATTCTATTATACAAACTAACCCCATAAGATATCCCAAGTTCATAAACCCCTTTTGTTAGTCATCTTATCTAATTCATTGATCTCCAGCCAAAATCACCTACATCGACAATTTATTCTGCCGATATCCTATCCTAATGTGCACACCGGGCTTGCATGGAACCTAGTTCACAATGAATAGATTCAACTACACAAAAGGTCCTTTCCAATTACCCTCCTTCCCAGACCAATCTGAACACTGAAGTTCTAACAACATCAACATGAATGATGCACAAATTATATCATTTCATCTTTCACATGTATTACGATATATTCTCAACGAATAAAATTTCAGAAATAATTCCATAACCAATAACAAGTAAACACTCAACTGAAGAAATTAGCCAATTAATATCCAACTACATTAATCAATCAAAAAAATAAAAAAATATTATAACACTTCACGAAATTTAATAAAATCAATTTCCATAAAGATTTACCGTATTTCCCTTACCTAGATTCTGAGCTTAGCTTTTACTTTCTCACCATTATCCAAACGTTATTCACCAAACTCTTGAGCACCATTACCACCTCACGTGATTCACAAGTTAATCCAAACCAAAATATCCAACTGATCCTCAAATAAAATATCACATCAACCAAGTTACTAATCAATTAAACTTATCAAACCCAGTATGTAGTTCAACACTTCAATATTAATTCAAACCTCTGCAAGTCCTTGATAATCTTCACAAGTAGCATACACTAACCTTGAAATCCCATGTAATTGGCACGATCTGATCTCAGTTATAAAGCCCTTGTCCAAATGAAAGACCATCAGTCGTTCCCACATGCCAATTAGCTAAATTCTCCAACTTTATCTACGTGAGAATATTATGTTCCAATCTTAGGGTTTTGAAGAAAAAAGAAAGC